TTTTGACGTCATAATAAAAAATATCTGACGCAACAATGGAAAATTAAACAGACGATAGTGGAAATACCAGAAGTAACTTGAACGAGAGGCCCCTGATATGGGTTAACATTCCGGGTGGGAAATTGTGGCTTGTGTACTTCCGTTCATTACACATATGCAAAAGCTATCATATTAATGCTAAGTATATGATAAAATAAATTATATGAAAACTTTATATGCTTTTATACATTGTATATTGGTTATTGCACATGGAACCAGCTTTTCATTCTTCTTTTTGAAGTAATACTATTATATATATATCACTCAAATATTAAAGTTAGAAATAATTGTATATCACAGCAGGAAAATTGCCCATTCAAATTTCTTAAACTGTCTACATAAAAAATGGAGATGTGGTATGATTGCCAATGAGACTGTACCCCCCCCCTGCCCCCCCCCCCCCCAAGTTCAAATGAAGTGAAAGTAGGCAATTATAGGCAATCATACCGATCGACTTCAACAATGAAAATCATAAACCTATATCACACAGGAGGCTTTAACAGACCCTCACATGAAAAACTAAAAAAAAAAGTGAACATTAGATATTGTAAACACAATATTAGAATAATAAATCATGAAAAAAATAATTAGTTTTTTTCTTTTCCTTTTCGGTTCATTTTGGTGATAAGATTAACCCATACATTGCTAAAACTATTGAATTAGCAGGTAACATATTTTGTATTTATTGAGAAATATTGAAATAAGAAAAACTAGACTAATTGTTTTTTCCAGATAGAACCTCAGATGTAATACAGATTGCTGCAACTTCAAACAATAATGAATTTAGCAGTTACATCTTTCCAAACCAACCTATCTCAATACAGGCCTCCGAAACTTTCCAAATATCCATCCAAGCCAGTTCTTGTAGGACACAACATCAAACGCTTTGATTGCCATGTTTTGTACCATTCTTTAAAGGCAAATCAGATGTGGAATGAGTTTTCATCTCACATATGTGGATTCATAGACACCATGGAGTTATTCAAGAAAATAATTCCAGGATAACCATCATATTCTCAAACTTCATTGGTGTCACAACTTCTTGGTGAAAACTATTGTGCACACAATGCAGTTGATGACACTAGAGCATTGTTTAAATTATTAACCTCAAAAGCCTTAAACAATCTGGATTAATTTGTTTTTCCTGCAAGTCATCCTTATGATTGTATAGTCCAGAAAGACAATCTTAAGTCTTATAATGAAGCCATTGCTTGTAAAGCAATTACACGAGCGACTGCTTTGAAGGCTTCTAAATCAAACTTAAAGCTCTCTCATCTTAAACTTTCTGTTGAGAGAACAGGACTAGAAGGATTAAAAGCTTTATTGTCTGAAAAAACTGACAGAGGAAATGTTCGAGTCACAAATTGCATGAAGGTCATTCGAAAAATATTTGACTTCCTTACTCCTGAAAGCTAGTTGATAATTCTTTGTTTTTATACTGGAATTATATATTATATCCTTTCAGCTAACCTTGTGGGCAATTGCCATCACTAGTCATCAATTGTCTGTAAACATTAATATTTTTTATCTCATGCTTGAGGAATAGTGAACAGAATTTTATCAAACTTTGCAGATAAATTATTTCTATCAATTAATGTCCTTTTTAATTGTTGAAGATTAGGTGACAATTGGTAAAGATAGATAGCCATCCTGTCTGAATGTAAATTGTCATTGGTTAATCTTGATTGAAACCTTATTCTCAAGAAATCCTGTAGGGATTGAAACAAAACATAGTACATTTATTTATTTTCCGATCAAGGTATTGAACAAGTGGTGTTATCTTATTGACAATAAAAATAAGAGCCAGCAAAGATCAAATGTCAATTTACATGTTGCTTTATATTTTAACTACAAATAATATTAAGTGACAAACTTTGTAAGATGATCAGTTCGAGCTACTAGCTTTGGTTCTAGGAAGGAGCTTAAAGGGTCAGTTCAGTACACATTTCAATGATAACAGCATTATAGATTGAATTGAAAAAAAGTAGATATATATTTATTTCAAGGTCCTAAACAAGTGTTTGGACTGTTGTAGAAATTCAAAATGGCCATCAGTGAAGTTAAAAGCTTATTGATAGAAACCCAATGGGAGATATTTAAAGTTGTATTTCTTGTAGTATTTTTGTCAATGAGAAAAATAATCTTTACCAGATGCATTGCAAAATGATATCACTCATTACTGGTACAGTCTAATTGTATCCAATTATGTTTCTTTGGCAAATGAAGTATCTTACCTTTTGCCTAGTTGTATTTTAAGGAATAAATTAAATCTTTAATTTATCTTTCAATATAAGAATTAGTATTCTGAAGGAAATGTAAAAAAAAAGGTGGTATTTGCATAAAATGCCTGGCAGAACAGGATAATTACACTCCCTATTGCACAGTGAAATGTCTTGTTATATGAATGAAATAAGTGCCACAAATCAAACCATGCTTTTAAACAATTTCATTGGTTAATTGATTTTGGATTTAATGTTATATGGATCAGTTAATGTATGGGACCATAAATATGTCCATAAATAAATACTTATATCACCTATACTGCAAGTTGTTATTTGTATTTTATGTAGAAACAAAGATTATATTTTGTTATGCCCCACCACAAATGTGGATGGGATATGAAATATATTGACCCTTGCCCATCCATTCTTATATCATCAGAGGCCTAGTTTATGTACAGAACAATAAATGAAAATGAAAGATACATACAGCAACAAACCACAAATACTGAACTACAGGCTCCTGACGTGGGACAGACACAGACTACATCTTAATCTAAACCATTAACTCTTTAATAGGAAACAACCAAATGTGAGATATAAGTCCGGAAGTCTTCAAGGAAACATAATTCAAAATACATTATGCACCTATTTTATTTTTTGATGGAACTATAATGATGTTCGAGGTTTCCAATGTCAAACTTGGAGGACAAGTGGAGGAATCATTTTTTAGGTATCTAATTATCTAGCTGACTAGTTCATTTTGGTACATAATATGCCCTATAGGCATTAGACAGAGGCGGATTTAAGGGGGGCAAGGGCCCCAGATCCCCCCTTTTTTGGGAAAAATTTGGTTGATTATATAGGCAGTCAGTGGGCCACACTTATGAAAATTTCTGGATCCGCCAGTGTTAGATCTATAAAGGAATATTTTTCCCAGTGCGTTATAATCTATATAATCTTGGTACTTTTCCTTCAAAATCATCTAGAATGTTCCCTACAATATAAGTTTGACTATTCTAACAATAGTGACTTTGATAACTGAATTCGACAATCATTGAGTATATGGATGGGGTCTACAGCATAGAGAATAATGGATAAAAAGTGCAATTTAAATTAAGGCCAAAACATATAAAGAATAGAGAAAATCGCCAAAAAAAAATAGAAAATAAAGGAGTGCTAAAATTTAGGAATAGAGAATAATGACATAAAGATTTAAAGAATAGAAGGTTGAAGGACCCCCTTTCCAGACCCTCATCATTCAGGTTCGCCTTCCACTTAAATTTTTGTTTTACATTTTGTTTCATTATGTATGACAGTTAATAATATGTAAATTTTGATTTAACTTAGCGAATGATCTCATAAAAATTTCATCAAAACTTTCAAAAATAGCATAAATTTATCATTTTCATGAACACCATGACCTTAACCTTTCACCTTACGAATTTACCAAATGACCTAAAATTCAATGTTGGCCTGCACATCACTTAGGGGTACTGTTTACCATATACATATTTTCATTTCATATAGTTTAGGCCAAAATACTGGAGAAAAGGTTGATTTTTTTCAAAAATAACCTTTTTTGGTTGCCATGGTTTCACACTTTTGGTGGTCTACCTCTCTTAAAAGGTCGGTGACCCCCACTTTTTTTTTTGCTTTTTCTGAACTTCACTACCAACTCTCTTAGAATGGAAAGTATAATATAAATCTGTAATTTTGATTTAACTTAGCGAATGATCTCATAAAAATTTCATCAAAACTTTCAAAAATAACAAATTTATCATGTTCATGAACACCATAACCTTAACCTATGACCTTACGAATTTATCAAAATGACCTAAAATTCAATGTTGGCCTGCATATCGCTTAGGGGTACTGTTAACCATAAACAGATTTTCATTTCATATAGTTAAGGCCAAAATACTGGAGAAAAAGTTGATTTTTTTTCAGAAATTACCTTTTTTGGTTGCCATGGTTTCACACTTTTGGTGGTCTACCTCTCTTAAAAGGTCGGTGACCCCCACTTTTTTTTTGCTTTTTCGGAACTTCACTACCAACTCTCTTAGAATGAAAAGTATAATAGAAATCTTTAATTTTCTTCTCTCAGTAGGTTAAGATGAAGGCAACGCAGGTGCAATTTTCCCTATTAGTCTTTGTAAAAATTGTACGATTTCTGAGGGGAAAACCTATTTTTTTAGCAGTCTGTAACTTGCTTAGATGGTCGGTGACCCCCTATTTTTTTTGCATTTTTTTAATCTATATGTTAAGAGGTTTCAATCAACAAATTATAAGGAAAAACTGTAATTTAAATTTTATACCCTCGAGCCTCCTTAAGTCTGACATATTGAAGATTTGTGTTCAACATGATCAATGTTAACTGATCTTCTGGGAAGTTTTCTAACTTGTTATTCAGTAAATATCTAATAGAAAATTGATGATCATGAACATAGTTACTTAATTAACCTACTTATATTCAAATTACCAAACATTTCAAAGGTTGATCTTCAGTTATTCAATGGATCAAATATATGTGTCATCAACCTGATATTGTTGATGTGATTTTCATTGCTTTAAAAATCAACATTATTTAACGAAATTAAAATAGAATGATGACAAAACTACTGAGTTCTCGGCACACAAGTATATGTAAGAACAGCAGATGTATGTGTACGTGATTAGATATACAATTTAAATAATATAATATGTAAGAAAAAGTCTGAGATGAGCATAAATCATACTTACAATCTTTCAAGTTTTGTGTTGCTAGAAAACAAACCTTCAGGTAAAGTTACTAACTTGTTTTCGTATAAATATCTGAAAGGAAGTCAAATATCTTGATTTTGTAAGAACATGTTAAATTAAAACACCGATACCGAATTTACCAGAGATTACCAAATTCGATCTCCGTGTATTGAAAAGATGAAATATATTTTTCTTCAAACTGACATTGATGATGCATTTTTATAAGCTTCAACTCGAATCTTTAGACAATGAGTGACATTGAAACTAACATTAAGTATGCACAAAGGAAGTTTGCCAATAAAATGAAATTAAGGTAGACCTTCTGAGTTGGCAACAGACAAGTATATTCAGGAATATCAGTTATATATGTACGTGATTATATAAACAACACAATCTTTCATAAAATAAAGTCTGTGATAAACATTATTCACAATTACAATTCTTGTAACTTGGTGTTTGATGATAACAGACTATCTGGTAAACTTTCCTTGTTGTCTTTGGTTACAATTTTGGAGTATAATCAAGCATCTTAATTATGTAAGAATATATTCAATCAAGACAATTATATTCAAATTACCAAAAGGAATTCTAAGATTAATTTTGAAATATTGAATAACATTAAAAGTTAAATTAGCATATACAAAGGAAGTCTGACATATTGAAGATTGGTGTTCAACATGTTCAATGTTAAATGACCTTCTGGTAAACTTTCTAACTTGTTACTCATTAAATAATTAATAGAAAATCAATGATCATGAAAATGCTTAATTTATCTTCTTTTATTTACATTACCATACATTTTAAAGGTTGATCTTAAGTTATTCAATCGATCAAATATATTTGTCGTCCACCTGATATGATAGATATATAATTTGTATTGCTTTAAATTCAACATAAAAAAATGAACCAAATTTAAAAAGAATGATAGCAAAACTGCTGAGTTCCCAACACACAAGTATTTTGAAGAAAATCAGATATGTGTACGTGATTAAATATACAATATAATCTATAACACAATTAAGTCCTAAGATGATCACAATTCATACATACAATGTTTTAATTTTTGTTTTGTTAGAAAACATATGAACGAGGTTAAGAATTCCACAAACAATTAAATAAGTTTAGGTCTGATATAAATATCAATTACACTTAAAATTATATAGGATTCATGTTGAACAGAAACAAATCTTCTGGTAAAGTTACTAACTTGTTATGCCTTAAAAATCTGGAAGAAAATCAAATATCTTGATTGTGTAGGAACATGTTAAATCAAAACACTGATACTAAACTTACCAAAGAATACCAATTTGATCTCCTTGTATTCAATAAGTTTATAATTGTGATAAACCTGCTGAGCTATTGGCACACAAGTATATTAAAACCCCTTTATATAGGATAGGAACATGATTTGCAATAATTTAATATAACCTTTTAATAAGATTAAGTCTGACATATTGAAGATTTGTGTTCAACATGATCAATGTTAACTAACCTTCTGGGAAGTTTTCGAACTTGTTATTCAGTAAAAATCTAATAGAAAATTGATGATCATGAACATAGTTACTTAATTAACCTACTTATATTCAAATTACCAAACATTTCAAAGGTTGATCTTCAGTTATTCAATGGATCAAATATATGTGTCATCAACCTGATATTGTTGATGTGATTTTCATTGCTTTAAAAATCAACATTATTTAACGAAATTAAAATAGAATGATGACAAAACTACTGAGTTCTCGGCACACAAGTATATGTAAGAACAGCAGATGTATGTGTACGTGATTAGATATACAATTTAAATAATATAATATGTAAGAAAAAGTCTGAGATGAGCATAAATCATACTTACAATCTTTCAAGTTTTGTGTTGCTAGAAAAAAGACCTTCTGGTAAAGTTATTAACTTGTTCTGGCCTAAATATCTGAAAGGAAATCAACTATCTTGATTTTGTAAGAACATGTTAAATTAAAACACCGCTACCGAATTTACTAGAGATTACCAAATTCGATCTCAGTGTATTGAAAAGATGAAATATATTTTTCTTCAAACTGACATTGTTGATGCATTTTTATCAGCTTCAAATGCAATCTTTAATCAATGAGTGACATTGAAAGTAACATTTAGTATGCACAAAGGAAGTTTGCCAATAAAATGAAATTAAGTTAGACCTTCTGAGTTGTCAACAGACAAGTATATTGAGGAATATCAGTTATATATGTAAGTGATTATATAAACAACACAATCTTTCATAAAATAAAGTCTGTGATAAACATTATTCACAATTACAATTCTTGTAACTTGGTGTTTGATGATAACAGACTATCTGGTAAACTTTCCTTGTTGTCTTTGGTTACAATTTTGGAGTATAATCAAGCATCTTAATTATGTAAGAACATATTCAATCAAGACAATTATATTCAAATTACCAAAAGGAATTCTAAGATTAATTTTGAAATATTCAATAACATTAAAAGTTAAATTAGCATATAAAAAGGAAGTCTGACATATTGAAGATTGGTGTTCAACATGTTCAATGTTAAATGACCTTCTGGTAAACTTTCTAACTTGTTACTCATTAAATAATTAATAGAAAATCAATGATCATGAAAATGCTTAATTTATCTTCTTTTATTTACATTACCATACATTTTAAAGGTTGATCGTAAGTTATTCAATCGATCAAATATATTTGTCGTCCACCTGATATGATAGATAAAATTTGTATTGCTTTAAAATTCAACATAAAAAAATGAACTTAATTAAATAAGAATGATGGCAAAACTGTTGAGTTCTCAAAACACAAGTATTTTGAAGAAAATCAGATATGTGTACGTGATTAAATATACAAAATAATCTATAACACAATTAAGTCCTAAGATGATCACAATTCATACATACAATGTTTTAATTTTTGTTTTGTTAGAAAACATATGAACGAGGTTAAAAATTCCACACACTATTAAATAAGTTTAGGTATGATATAAATATCAATTACATAAAAAAATGAACTTAATTAAATAAGAATGATGGCAAAACTGTTGAGTTCTCAAAACACAAGTATTTTGAAGAAAATCAGATATGTGTACGTGATTAAATATACAATATAATCTATAACACAATTAAGTCCTAAGATGATCACAATTCATACATACAATGTTTTAATTTTTGTTTTGTTAGAAAACATATGAACGAGGTTAAAAATTCCACACACTATTAAATAAGTTTAGGTATGATATAAATATCAATTACACTTAAAATTCTATAGGATTCATGTTGAACAGAAACAAATCTTCTGGTAAAGTTACTAACTTGTTATGCCTTAAAAATCTGGAAGAAAATCAAATATCTTGATTGTGTAAGAACATGTTAAATCAAAACACTGATACTAAACTTACCAAAGATTACCAATTTGATCTCCCTGTATTCAATAAGTTTATCATTGTGATAAACCTGCTGAGCTATTGGCATACAAGTATATATTAAAACCCCTTTATATAGGAACATGATTTGCAATAATTTAATATAATCTTTTAATAAGTTTAAGTCTGACATATTGAAGATTTGTGTGCAACAAGTTCAATCTTAACTGACCTTTTGGGAATTTTTTTAACTTGTTATTAAGTAAATATCTAATAGAAAATCAATGATCATGAATATACTTAATTAACCTACTTATATTCAAATTACCAAACATTTCAAAGGTTGAACTTTAGTTGTTCAATGGATCAACTGTAATTGTGATCAACCTGATATTGATAATGTAATTTTCATTGCTCTAAAATTCAACATTATTTAACGAAATTAAAATAGAATGATGACAAAACTACTGAGTTATCGGCACACAAGTATATGTAAGAACAGCAGATGTGTGTCTACGTGATAAGATATACAATTTAAATAATATAATATGTAAGAAAAAGTCTGAGATGAGCATAAATCATACTTACAATCTTTCAAGTTTAGTGTTGTTAGAAAACAGACCTTCTGGTAAAGTTACCAACGCGTTATTCTCTAAATCTCTGGAAGACAATCAATTATCATGGTAATATAAGAACATGTTACATTAAAGCACTAATTCTGAACTTACAAAAGATTACCAATCTGATCTCCTTGTATTCAATAAGTTTATAATTGTGATAAACCTGCTGAGCTATTGGCACACAAGTATATTAAAAACCCTTTTATATAGGAACATGATTTGCAATAATTTAATATAACCTTTTAATAAGATTAAGTCTGACATATTGAAGATTGGTGTTCAACATGTGCAATGTTAACTGACCTTCTGCGATTTTTTCTAACTTGTTATTCAGTAAATATCTAATCGAAAATTGATGATCATGAACATAGTTACTTAATTAACCTACTTATATTCAAATTACCAAACATTTCAAAGGTTGATCTTCAGTTATTCAATGGATCAAATATATGTGTCATCAACCTGATATTGTTGATGTGATTTTCATTGCTTTAAAAATCAACATTATTTAACGAAATTAAAATAGAATAATGACAAACTACTGAGTTCTCGGCACACAAGTATATGTAAGAACAGCAGATGTGAGTGTACGTGATAAGATATACAGTTCAAATAATATAATATGTAACTTAAAGTCTGAGATGAACATAAATCATACTTACAATGTTGCAAGTTTTGTGTTGCTAGAAAAAAGACCTTCTGGTAAAGTTATTAACCTGTTCTGGCCTAAATATCTGAAAGGAAGTCAACTATCTTGATTTTGTAAGAACATGTTAAATTAAAACACGGATACCGAATTTACCAGAGATTACCAAATTCGATCTCAGTGTATTGAAAAGATGAAATATATTTTTCTTCAAACTGACATTGTTGATGCATTTTTATAAGCTTCAACTGCAATCTTTAATCAATGAGTGACATTGAAAGTAACATTAAGTATGCACAAAGGAAGTTTGTCAATAAAATGAAATTAAGTTAGACCTTCTGAGTTGTCAACAGACAAGTATATTGAGGAATATCAGTTATATATGTAAGTGATTATATAAACAACACAATCTTTCATAAAATAAAGTCTGTGATAAACATTATTCACAATTACAATTCTTGTAACTTGGTGTTTGATGATAACAGACTATCTGGTAAACTTTCCTTGTTGTCTTTAGTTACAATTTTGGAGTATAGTCAAGCATCTTAATTATGTAAGAACATATTCAATCAAGAAAATTATATTCAAATTACCAAAAGGAATTCTAAGATTAATTTTGAAATATGGAATAACATTAAAAGTTAAATTAGCATATAAAAAGGAAGTCTGGCATATTGAAGATTGGTGTTTAACATGTTCAATGTTAAACGACCTTCTGATACATTTTCTAACTTGTTACTCATTAAATAATTAATAGAAAATCAATGATCATGAAAATGCTTAATTTATCTTCTTTTATTTACATTACCATACATTTTAAAGGTTGATCGTAAGTTATTCAATCGATCAAATATATTTGTCGTCCACCTGATATGATAGATATAATTTGTATTGCTTTAAAATTTAACATACAAAATGAACTTAATTAAAAAAGAATGATGGCAAAACTGTTGAGTTCTCAACACACAGGTATTTTGAAGAAAATCAGATATGTGTACGTGATTAAATATACAATATAATCTATAACACAATTAAGTCCTAAGATGATCAAAATTCATACATACAATGTTTTAATTTGTGTGTTGTTAGAATTCATATGAACGAGGTTAAAAATTCCACACACTATTAAATAAGTTTAGGTCTGATATAAATATCAATTACACTTAAAATTCTATAGGATTCATGTTGAACAGAAACAAATCTTCTGGTAAAGTTACTAACTTGTTATGCCTTAAAAATCTGGAAGAAAATCAAATATCTTGATTGTGTACGAACATGTTAAATCAAAACACTGATACTAAACTTACCAAAGATTACCAATTTGATCTCCCTGTATTCAATAAGTTTATCATTGTGATAAACCTGCTGAGCTATTGGCATACAAGTATATTAAAACCCCTTTATATAGGAACATGATATGCAATAATTTAATATAATCTTTTAATAAGTTTAAGTCTGACATATTGAAGATTTGTGTTCAACAAGTTCAATCTTAACTGACCTTTTGGGAATTTTTTTAACTTGTTATTAAGTAAATATCTAATAGAAAATCAATGAATATGAATATACTTAATTAACCTACTTATATTCAAATTACCAAACATTTCAAAGGTTGATCTTCAGTTATTCAATGGATCAAATATATGTGTCATCAACCTGATATTGTTGATGTGATTTTCATTGCTTTAAAAATCAACATTATTTAACGAAATTAAAAAAGAATAATGACAAAACTACTGAGTTCTCGGCACACAAGTATATGTAAGAACAGCAGATGTGTGTGTACGTGATTAGATATACAGTTCAAATAATATAATATGTAACTTAAAGTCTGAGATGAACATAAATCATACTTACAATGTTTCAAGTTTTGTATTGCTAGAAAAAAGACCTTCTGGTAAAGTTATTAACTTGTTCTGGCCTGCTTGTCTGAAAGGAAGTCAACTATCTTGATTTTGTAAAAACATGTTAAATTAAAACACCGATACCGAATTTACCAGAGATTACCAAATTCGATCTCAGTGTATTGAAAAGATGAAATATATTTTTCTTCAAACTGACATTGTTGATGCATTTTTATAAGCTTCAGCTGCAATCTTTAATCAATGAGTGACATTGAAAGTAACATTAAGTATGCACAAAGGAAGTTTGTCAATAAAATGAAATTAAGTTAGACCTTCTGAGTTGTCAACAGACAAGTATATTGAGGAATATCAGTTATATATGTACGTGATTATATAAACAACACAATCTTTCATAAAATAAAGTCTGTGATAAACATTATTCACAATTACAATTCTTGTAACTTGGTGTTTGATGATAACAGACTATCTGGTAAACTTTCCTTGTTGTCTTTGGTTACAATTTTGGAGTATAATCAAGCATCTTAATTATGTAAGAACATATTCAATCAAGACAATTATATTCAAATTACCAAAAGGAATTCTAAGATTAATTTTGAAATATTGAATAACATTAAAAGTTAAATTAGCATATAAAAAGGAAGTCTGGCATATTGAAGATTGGTGTTTAACATGTTCAATGACCTTCTGGTAAATTTTCTAACTTGTTACTCATTAAATAATTAATAGAAAATCAATGATCATGAAAATGCTTAATTTATCTTCTTTTATTTACATTACCATACATTTTAAAGGTTGATCGTAAGTTATTCAATCGATCAAATATATTTGTCGTCCACCTAATATGATAGATATAATTTGTATTGCTTTAAAATTTAACATACAAAATGAACTTAATTAAAAAAGAATGCTGGCAAAACTGCTGAGTTCTCAACACATAAGTATTTTGAAGAAAATCAGATATGTGTACGTGATTAAATATACAATATAATCTATAACACAATTAAGTCCTAAGATGATCACAATTCATACATACAATGTTTTAATTTTTGTTTTGTTAGAAAACATATGAACGAGGTTAAGAATTCCACAAACAATTAAATAAGTTTAGGTCTGATATAAATATCAATTACACTTAAAATTATATAGGATTCATGTTGAACAGAAACAAATCTTCTGGTAAAGTTACTAACTTGTTATGCCTTAAAAATCTGGAAGAAAATCAAATATCTTGATTGTGTAGGAACATGTTAAATCAAAACACTGATACTAAACTTACCAAAGAATACCAATTTGATCTCCTTGTATTCAATAAGTTTATAATTGTGATAAACCTGCTGAGCTATTGGCACACAAGTATATTAAAACCCCTTTATATAGGATAGGAACATGATTTGCAATAATTTAATATAACCTTTTAATAAGATTAAGTCTGACATATTGAAGATTTGTGTTCAACATGATCAATGTTAACTAACCTTCTGGGAAGTTTTCGAACTTGTTATTCAGTAAAAATCTAATAGAAAATTGATGATCATGAACATAGTTACTTAATTAACCTACTTATATTCAAATTACCAAACATTTCAAAGGTTGATCTTCAGTTATTCAATGGATCAAATATATGTGTCATCAACCTGATATTGTTGATGTGATTTTCATTGCTTTAAAAATCAACATTATTTAACGAAATTAAAATAGAATGATGACAAAACTACTGAGTTCTCGGCACACAAGTATATGTAAGAACAGCAGATGTATGTGTACGTGATTAGATATACAATTTAAATAATATAATATGTAAGAAAAAGTCTGAGATGAGCATAAATCATACTTACAATCTTTCAAGTTTTGTGTTGCTAGAAAACAGACCTTCAGGTAAAGTTACTAACTTGTTTTCGTATAAATGTCTGAAAGGAAGTCAAATATCTTGATTTTGTAAGAACATGTTAAATTAAAACACCGATACCGAATTTACCAGAGATTACCAAATTCGATCTCCGTGTATTGAAAAGATGAAATATATTTTTCTTCAAACTGACATTGTTGATGCATTTTTATAAGCTTCAACTGCAATCTTTAATCAATGAGTGACATTGAAAGTAACATTAAGTATGCACAAAGGAAGTTTGCCAATAAAATGAAATTAAGTTAGACCTTCTGAGTTGTCAACAGACAAGTATATTGAGGAATATCAGTTATATATGTACGTGATTATATAAACAACACAATCTTTCATAAAATAAAGTCTGTGATAAACATTATTCACAATTACAATTCTTGTAACTTGGTGTTTGATGATAACAGACTATCTGGTAAACTTTCCTTGTTGTCTTTAGTTACAATTTTGGAGTATAATCAAGCATCTTAATTATGTAAGAACATATTCAATCAAGACAATTATATTCAAATTACCAAAAGGAATTCTAAGATTAATTTTGAAATATTGAATAACATTAAAAGTTAAATTAGCATATTAAAAGGAAGTCTGACATATTGAAGATTGGTGTTCAACATGTTCAATGTTAACTAACCTTCTGGGATGTTTTCTAACTTGTTAATCAGTAAATATCTAATAGGAAATTGATGATCATGAACATAGTTACTTAATTAACCTACTTATATTCAAATTACCAAACATTTCAAAAGTTGATCTTCAGTTATTCAATGGATCAAATATATGTGTCATCAACCTGATATTGTTGATGTGATTTTCATTGCTTTAAAAATCAACATTATTTAACGAAATTTTAATATGAATTACACTTAAAATTATATAGGATTCATGTTGAACAGAAACAAATCTTCTGGTAAAGTTACTAACTTGTTATGCCTTAAAAATCTGGAAGAAAATCAAATATCTTGATTGTGTAGGAACATGTTAAATCAAAACACTGATACTAAACTTACCAAAGAATACCAATTTGATCTCCTTGTATTCAATAAGTTTATAATTGTGATAAACCTGCTGAGCTATTGGCACTCAAGTATATTAAAACCCCTTTATATAGGATAGGAACATGATTTGCAATAATTTAATATAACCTTTTAATAAGATTAAGTCTGACATATTGAAGATTTGTGTTCAACATGATCAATGTTAACTAACCTTCTGGGAAGTTTTCGAACTTGTTATTCAGTAAAAATCTAATAGAAAATTGATGATCATGAACATAGTTACTTAATTAACCTACTTATATTCAAATTACCAAACATTTCAAAGGTTGATCTTCAGTTATTCAATGGATCAAATATATGTGTCATCAACCTGATATTGTTGATGTGATTTTCATTGCTTTAAAATCAACATTATTTAACGAAATTAAAATAGAATGATGACAAAACTACTGAGTTCTCGGCACACAAGTATATGTAAGAACAGCAGATGTATGTGTACGTGATAAGATATACAATTTAAATAATATAATATGTAAGAAAAAGTCTGAGATGAGCATAAATCATACTTACAATGTTTCAAGTTTTGTGTTGCTAGAAAACAGACCTTCAGGTAAAGTTACTAACTTGTTTTCGTATAAATGTCTGAAAGAAAGTCAAATATCCTAATTTTGTAAAAACATGTTAAAATAAAACACCGATACCGAATTTACCAGAGATTACCAAATTCGATCTCAGTGTATTGAAAAGATGAAATATATTTTTCTTCAAACTGACATTGTTGATGCATTTTTATAAGCTTCAACTGCAATCTTTAATCAATGAGTGACATTGAAAGTAACATCAAGTATGCACAAAGGAAGTTTGCCAATAAAATGAAATTAAGTTAGACCTTCTGAGTTGTCAACAGACAAGTATATTGAGGAATATCAGTTATATATGTACGTGATTATATAAACAACACAATCTTTCATAAAATAAAGTCTGTGATAAACATTATTCACAATTACAATTCTTGTAACTTGGTGTTTGATGATAACAGACTATCTGGTAAACTTTCCTTGTTGTCTTTAGTTACAATTTTGGAGTATAATCAAGCATCTTAACTATGTAAGAACATATTCAATCAAGACAATTATATTCAAATTACCAAAAGGAATTCTAAGATTAATTTTGAAATATTCAATAACATTAAAAGTTAAATTAGCATATAAAAAGGAAGTCTGACATATTGAAGATTGGTGTTCAACATGTTCAATGTTAAATGACCTTCTGGTAAACTTTCTAACTTGTTACTCATTAAATAATTAATAGAAAATCAATGATCATGAAAATGTTTAATTTATCTTCTTATATTACATTACCATACATTTTAAAGGTTGATCGTAAGTTATTCAATCGATGAAATATATTTGTCGTCCACCTGATATGATAGATAAAAGTTGTATTGCTTTAAAATTCAACATAAAAAATGAACTTAATTAAAAAAGAATGATGGCAAAACTGTTGAGTTCTCAACACACAAGTATTTTGAAGAAAATCAGATATGTGTTCGTGATTAAATATACAATATAATCTATAACACAATTAAGTCCTAAGATGATCACAATTCATACATACAATGTTTTAATTTTTGTTTTGTTAGAAAACATATGAACGAGGTTAAAAATTCCACACACTATTAAATAAGTTTAGGTCTGATATAAATATCAATTACACTTAAAATTCTATAGGATTCATGTTGAACAGAAACAAATCTTCTGGTAAAGTTACTAACTTGTTATGCCTTAAAAATCTGAAAGAAAATCAAATATCTTGATTGTGTAAGAACATGTTAAATCAAAACACTGATACTAAACTTACCAAAGATTACCAATTTGATCTCCCTGTATTCAATAAGTTTATCATTGTGATAAATCTGCTGAGCTATTGGCATACAAGTATATATTAAAACCCCTTTATATAGGAACATGATTTGCAATAATTTAATATAATCTTTTAATAAGTTTAAGTCTGACATATTGAAGATTTGTGTTCAACAAGTTCAATCTTAACTGACCTTTTGGGAATTTTTTTAACTTGTTATTAAGTAAATATCTAATAGAAAATCAATGATCATGAATATACTTAATTAACCTACTTATATTCAAATTACCAAACATTTCAAAGGTTGAACTTCAGTTGTTCAATGGATCAAATGTAATTGTGATCAACCTGATATTGATGATGTAATTTTCATTGCTCTAAAATTCAACATTATTTAACGAAATTAAAATAGAATGATGACAAAACTACTGAGTTATCGGCACACAAGTATATGTAAGAACAGCAGATGTGTGTCTACGTGATAAGATATACAATTTAAATAATATAATATGTAAGAAAAGTCTGAGATGAGCATAAATCATACTTACAATCTTTCAAGTTTAGTGTTTTTAGAAAACAGACCTTCTGGTAAAGTTACCAACGCGTTATTCTCTAAATCTCTGGAAGACAATCAATTATCATGGTAATATAAGAACATGTTACATTAAAGCACTAATTCTGAACTTACAAAAGATTACCAATCTGATCTCCTTGTATTCAATAAGTTTATAATTGTGATAAACCTGCTGAGCTATTGGCACACAAGTATATTAAAACCCCTTTTATATAGGAACATGATTTGCAATAATTTAATACAACCTTTTAATAAGATTAAGTCTGACATATTGAAGATTGGTGTTCAACATGTGCAATGTTAACTGACCTTCTGCGATTTTTTCTAACTTGTTATTCAGTAAATATCTAATAGAAAATTGATGATCATGAACATAGTTACTTAATTAACCTACTTATATTCAAATTACCAAACATTTCAAAGGTTGATCTTCAGTTATTCAATGGATCAAATATATGTGTCATCAACCTGATATTGTTGATGTGATTTTCATTGCTTTTAAAATCAACATTATTTAACGAAATTAAAATAGAATAATGACAAACTACTGAGTTCTCGGCACACAAGTATATGTAAGAACAGCAGATGTGAGTGTACGTGATTAGATATACAGTTCAAATAATATAATATGTAACTTAAAGTCTGAGATGAACATAAATCATACTTACAATGTTTCAAGTTTTGTGTTGCTAGAAAAAAGACCTTCTGGTAAAGTTATGAACCTGTTATGGCCTAAATATCTGAAAGGAAGTCAACTATCTTGATTTTGTAAGAACAGTTAAATTAAAACACCGATACCGAATTTACCAGAGATTACCAAATTCGATCTCAGTGTATTGAAAAGATGAAATATATTTTTCTTCAAACTGACATTGTTGATGCACTTTTATAAGCTTCAACTGCAATCTTTAATCAATGAGTGACATTGAAAGTAACATTTAGTATGCACAAAGGAAGTTTGTCAATAAAATGAAATTAAGTTAGACCTTCTGAGTTGTCAACAGACAAGTATATTGAGGAATATCAGTTATATATGTACGTGATTATATAAACAACACAATCTTTCATAAAATAAAGTCTGTGATAAACGATATTCACAATTACAATTCTTGTAACTTGGTGTTTGATGATAACAGACTATCTGGTAAACTTTCCTTGTTGTCTTCGGTTACAATTTTGGAGTATAATCAAGCATCTTAATTATGTAAGAACATATTCAATCAAGACAATTATATTCAAATTAACAAAAGGAATTCTAAGATTAATTTTGAAATATTGAATAACATTAAAAGTTAAATTAGCATATAAAAAGGAAGTCTGGCATATTGAAGATTAGTGTTTAACATGTTCAATGTTAAACGACCTTCTGGTAAATTTTCTAACTTGTTACTCATTAAATAATTAATAGAAAATCAATGATCATGAAAATGCTTAATTTATCTTCTTTTATTTACATTACCATACATTTTAAAGGTTGATCGTAAGTTATTCAATCGATCAAATATATTTGTCGTCCACCTGATATGATAGATATAATTTGTATTGCTTTAAAATTTAACATACAAAATGAACTTAATTAAAAAAGAATGATGGCAAAACTGTTGAGTTCTCAACACACAAGTATTTTGAAGAAAATCAGATATGTGTACGTGATTAAATATACAATATAATCTATACCACAATTAAGTCCTAAGATGATCAAAATTCATACATACAATGTTTTAATTTGTGTGTTGTACGAATACATATGAACGAGGTTAAAAATTCCACACACTATTAAATAAGTTTAGGTCTGATATAAATATCAATTACACTTAAAATTCTATAGGATTCATGTTGAACAGAAACAAATCTTCTTGTAAAGTTACTAACTTGTTATGCCTTAAAAATCTGGAAGAAAATCAAATATCTTGATTGTGTACGAACATGTTAAATCAAAACACTGATACTAAACTTACCAAAGATTACCAATTTGATCTCCCTGTATTCAATAAGTTTATCATTGTGATAAACCTGCTGAGCTATTGGCATACAAGTATATTAAAACCCCTTTATATAGGAACATGATTTGCAATAATTTAATATAATCTTTTAATAAGTTTAAGTCTGACATATTGAAGATTTGTGTTCAACAAGTTCAATCTTAACTGACCTTTTGGGAATTTTTTTAACTTGTTATTAAGTAAATATCTAATAGAAAATCAATGAATATGAACATACTTAATTAACCTACTTATATTCAAATTACCAAACATTTCAAAGGTTGATCTTCAGTTATTCAATGGATCAAATATATGTGTCATCAACCTGATATTGTTGATGTGATTTTAATTGCTTTAAAAATCAACATTATTTAACGAAATTAAAAAAGAATAATGACAAAACTACTGAGTTCTCGGCACACAGGTATATGTAAGAACAGCAGATGTGTGTGTACGTGATTAGATATACAGTTCAAATAATATAATTTGTAACTTAAAGTCTTAGATGAACATAAATCATACTTACAATGTTTCAAGTTTTGTGTTGCTAGAAAAAAGACCTTCTGGTAAAGTTATTAACTTGTTCTGGCCTAAATATCTGAAAGGAAGTCAACTATCTTGATTTTGTAAAAACATGTTAAATTAAAACACCGATACCGAATTTACCAGAGATTACCAAATTCGATCTCAGTGTATTGAAAAGATGAAATATATTTTTCTTCAAACTGACATTGTTGATGCATTTTTATAAGCTTCAACTGCAATCTTTAATCAATGAGTGACATTGAAAGTAACATTAAGTATGCACAAAGGAAGTTTGTCAATAAAATGAAATTAAGTTAGACCTTCTGAGTTGTCAACAGACAAGAATATTGAGGAATATCAGTTATATATGTACGTGATTATATAAACAACACAATCTTTCATAAAATAAAGTCTGTGATAAACATTATTCACAATTACAATTCTTGTAACTTGGTGTTTGATGATAACAGACTATCTGGTAAACTTTCCTTGTTGTCTTCGGTTACAATTTTGGAGTATAATCAAGCATCTTAATTATGTAAGAACATATTCAATCAAGACAATTATATTCAAATTACCAAAAGGAATTCTAAGATTAATTTTGAAATATTGAATAACATTAAAAGTTAAATTAGCATATAAAAAGGAAGTCTGGCATATTGAAGATTGGTGTTTAACATGTTCAATGTTAAATGAACTTCTGGTAAATTTTCTAACTTGTTACTCATTAAATAATTAATAGAAAATCAATGATCATGAAAATGCTTAATTTATCTTCTTTTATTTACATTACCATACATTTTAAAGGTTGATCGTAAGTTATTCAATCGATCAAATATATTTGTCGTCCACCTAATATGATAGATATAATTTGTATTGCTTTAAAATTTAACATACAAAATGAACTTAATTAAAAAAGAATGATGGCAAAACTGCTGAGTTCTCAACACACAAGTATTTTGAAGAAAATCAGATATTTGTACGTGATTAAATATACAATATAATCTATAACACAATTAAGTCCTAAGATGATCACAATTCATACATACAATGTTTTAATTTGTGTGTTGTTAGAAAACATATGAACGAGGTTAAAAATTCCACACACTATTAAATAAGTTTAGGTCTGATATAAATATCAATTACACTTAAAATTCTATAGGATTCATGTTGAACAGAAACAAATCTTCTGGTAAAGTTACTAACTTGTTATGCCTTAAAAATCTGGAAGAAAATCAAATATCTTGATTGTGTAAGAACATGTTAAATCAAAACACTGATACTAAACTTACCAAAGATTACCAATTTGATCTCCCTGTATTCAATAAGTTTATCATTGTGATAAACCTGCTGAGCTATTGGCATACAAGTATATTAAAACCCCTTTATATAGGAACATGATATGCAATAATTTAATATAATCTTTTAATAAGTTTAAGTCTGACATATTGAAGATTTGTGTTCAACAAGTTCAATCTTAACTGACCTTTTGGGAATTTTTTTAACTTGTTATTAAGTAAATATCTAATAGAAAATTAATGATTATGAATATACTTAATTAACCTACTTATATTCAAATTACCAAACATTTCAAAGGTTGAACTTCAGTTGTTCAATGGATCAAATGTAATTGTGATCAACCTGATATTGATGATGTAATTTTCATTGCTCTAAAATTCAACATTATTTAACGAAATTAAAATAGAATGATGACAAAACTACTGAGTTATCGGCACACAAGTATATGTAAGAACAGCCGATGTGTGTCTACGTGATTAGATATACAATTTAAATAATATAATATGTAAGAAAAAGTCTGAGATGAGCATACATCACACTTACAAAGTTTTAAGTTTAGTGTTGTTAGAAAACAGACCATCTGGTAAAGTTATTAACTTGTTATCCGATAAATTTCTGGAAGGAAATCAAATATCTTGATTATAGATCATTTAACACTAAAACACTGATACTGAACTTACCAAAGATTACCTATTTTGAACTCCATGTGTTCAATAGATAAATAAATTTTTCTTTAAACTGACATTGTTGATGCAATTGTTTAAGTTTTACTGCCACCTTTAAATGTGAGCGGCATTTAAAGTAAGATTAGTATGCACAAAGGAAGTTCTTTGGATACCAGAATGTGTTTAATATACTTAATTAACCTACTTATATTCATATTACCAAATATTTCAAAGGTCTATCTTCAGTTATTCAGTGGATCAAATATATTTGTCATCTATACTCATAATTTATTAGACATTAAAATCATTTGATTGAACACCATAATAAGATTGATCGACATAACAATGGACTGGACTACATGTCAACTGTAAAACAAAACGAAATCCCGTCCAACATCTGAAAAAGGGAATGTTTAAAACATGCCTCATTAAAACTACCATACTCCAATGTAAATTCAAAAATTCATAAGATGTTCCGAGGAACCTTGTGTCTCGCGATTGCTGCTGTCAGTCTAAAAGTGTAATGATGACATAAAAAGTGATAGCCTAGTCAATTTAGCTCTAATATTACTCAACCTGCAATTAATTGCAACACAAGATTTGTTTAAGTGTAAATTAGAACATAGACTTGTACTAAAAACATATAATAAAAATCTACATTATCATATTTTGAGGAAAAGGTTATTTTGGTGTGAAATATATGGTTTTTAGAGAACAAAAATACGGAAAACTGGAAAAAATTAAAAACAGTTATTTATGGTTACATTTTGAGACTTATAGCTTGGTGAAGAAGATAGGACACTTTATTTTTTTAGTGTATTATGTAGCCCTTTATTTATAATTATTCGTATTAAAGTAATTTTGAGGTGAAATGTGTGATTTAGAGAAAAAACGCTGAAAACTGAAAATGATGAAAATCTCAGGTGTTAATGGTTAAAATGTGTGAGATGTGATCTTCAAAGACAGAACATACTATTTTATGCTTATTATGTGAAGTCCAATAGTTATTTATATTAATATTTGGGTAAATTTGGCTGAAATTTATGTTTTTAGAGAGAAAAACCTCGAAAACTGAAAAAAAAGCTCGGTTATTGTTGTTAAAACTTTTGATGTGGGATCTTTATAGAAAATACGACATATTATATATTCTGTTTATATTATGAAAAAATGTAGTTACTAGTATTTAAAAATGGTAATACTTGGGTAACATGTGGTTTTTAGAGAAAAATTAAAATAGGAAAAAAATATTCATGGTTGAAAGTTTTGAAATATGATCTAAATAGAAGATAGAAAATATTAGCTTATGTTTATACATGTAACGTCGCGGTACTCAAATTGCACTGAATACCCAAATTGCACCTAATTAGCAAAAATAGTAGCGGAAGTCTTACAATGTTTTGTTAAGAGATTAAGCAATTGGTATATTTATGATTTGACATTATGCACATCTTTCAATATAGCTAAATATGTTCAAATATACACAATACGTTCACTTTCACAGTATATTATCAACAGATGAAGCATCCACTGGAAAACCTTATTCTACGGAAACTTTGCCATGCGACATCTACAAAAAGTCAATTTTCAAAAATGAGTCATTTAAATTATGTAACAGGCATCCATTTCTTAAAAAAATGAATAGTAAGCAAGGAATGTTGTCAGATTGTTCCAGATAAAACTAAAAACCAGTTATTTGATTTTACGGAATGATATGAATTTTAACATGGATGCAATTTGGGTACTTCTCAGAACATAATCCTGGATCGTTTGGAGGTTGGTTCAAACCCATTTTTATGATTAAAAATGAATTTAAAACTAAATTGGTGGAACTTTATAATAAATAAGAATACATGCCCTAAAAATAAACACAGAATGGACACTTTTGACTGGATCATATATAAACGTAGGTTAAAAAACTCTCAAAATAGGTGCAATCTAGATACCCTCACATTATATGTATTCTTGTAGTTATCAATAACAATAATAATATAATTTTTGTGTGAAGTATTTTGTTTTCGGAATAAATTACAAAAAAAACAATTAAATTGCAAATCTTGGTTATTTCTTAATGTGAATAGGGTAAAATAGAGAATGGAAAGCTGGAACGTGGCAAAGAGAAAACAACCCGACCAACAGCAGAACCCAGCCCAAGGCCACCACTGGGTCTTCATCGCAGCGAGAAAATATGGCACCCGGAGGCGAGCTTTAGTCGGCCCTAAAGAATAATGTATACTAGTTCAGCAAAATGGACGCCACACTAAATTCCAAAACATTCAAATCAACCAAAATTATAAAAAAAAAAAAACACACAACACTAACAATTGGCTAGAATTTCCTGACTTTGCACAAACGCAAAAATACGGCAGGGTTAAACATGTTTCGCGAGATCTCAACTCTCCCTCTATACCTCTAACAATGTGGAATAAACAAAAACACAGCAGTACGCGCAGTAAAACCAAGATAAAAAGAAGTAGGTTTTGTTGAAGTTTGGACATTTTATCTCATGTTTCTGTGATAAATTCATAGTAATTTTGTAGGCATAATAAACAAAAAAATGTTTAATTGTGGTTCAAAAATAACTTAAAATTAGTTGATTTTTGTCATAATAATTGCTAAAAGAGTTATTTCACTAGTGTCCTTGCTTCACAATTGACTGTTGTCCTTTTGTTTTGTATTTTTTTCATTAGCTACTTTTATAACATTTGACTTACTAGAGGAGTGACATTAACCATAAAATTTTATTTTTAATGCACCCACTTAACATACGACTAAATCATATACCATTCGAAAGCACATCATCTGCACTACCTTTTTTGCCCGGTCGTCAAAAATTCGTATGGTGCAGTTTCTGTCAAATCGCAACGAAAGGTCAAGTACGGACAACTTCTAATGTTACAAGAAGTCAGCATGTTTTGCATATTCTGTCTTCTGAATAATGATATTTTGTATGTACATATGGAAATCTGTTAGAACAGATGTTAATAGTAACTTATCAAAAGCACTTTGAAAAATTCATGTCTGATTTTTAATAAATAGCGCTGTTTTCCAGAAATTCCATTGAAAATGACAAAAATGCATGAAAATCAAATTTTATGTCTGTGATTCAACTATTATTTACCATAAAACTAAATAACATATTTCATTTAGTGCTAAGGATGTTTTTGACATCATCAAATTACTGCAATTACGCTTTTTGTTAATTAAACAGCCAATTATAACAACCGTGCAGTTGCCCAAATATCGCCATCTGCAAGAAAATAGCTTCTTTAGCTGTTCTTTGTTATAACTATTTGTATGTAGTCGATATAATGTTGAAAAACACAAATTTTAAAACTGCAAAAATGTTAAAGGATGGAATACTCAGAAAATTCGTGCATTTAAGGAAAAGTTTGGGAGCGAAACTTTGATAATTCAATATTTCAATATGTGTATGTTTTCTTGGTTGATTATACTGCATCTTGCATTGAATGAGGAAGCGAAAACTATTATAAGCTAGCCACTGAAATGTTCTTCATGTCTGGCCAATATATTTAATCCTATCTAACTACGTAATCTCTTGTAAATACATTGAGACCTTCGCAATTATATTTACTTACATTAATTTTTGAATTGGGAAATATAGCAATCCGCAATAACAATACATACATTTCCATTAATCAAATTTTCTCCCTGAATAGTTTACATATAAATACATTTTAATATAAAGATGATTGATTGATTGTTGGTGTTTGACGCGATTTTCGGTTTAGAACTTTTGGCTTCTAAAGTATTTTGAGGCGATCAGTTTTCAATGGTTTAAGCCCATGGAATGCCCAAGGAACTACCAACCTTCGGAAGGAAAACTGCCAATCCCCATCAACAATACATTAGTTATAGCTATTAGTATCAAGGACGAAGTTACTGTGTAGGTGTCACAACACAAATGTACCAATCAGCATTGATCACCTTTTGTAAAAGTAGGCAACCTCTAACCAAACACAGTAGTGTTAATGTTGATGTTTACTTCAGCTAAATGTTACAAGTAAAGTTTCTTAATAGAAACAAAAATATAAATGCATTTGAACCACTTTTATTTCAAATTTAATTGGTCATGATTTTGCATTAGTATTTCAATGTAGGTTTGCCACATAATATTTTCATTTTAGGCATTTAAAAAAAAAGAGCATGATCTACTATTTAAGTAGATAATCTATTAAGCATTGGTTGATCATTGGCATATTAAAGATAGTCCGTGTATAATAAAAATACATATGGTTAAAATGAAGTTATTTTATTCTAAAATATCTATACAATTGTGAGAAATGAAAAAAATTGTGGTTGAATTTATCCAGTTTTTTTAATCGGTTTTATGTAATCTGATCTTAAATTATGTTCGTGAATATTTATTGTGCACTGAGCCCTCTGTTATTGATCTGACAGCGACTTTTTGCGATTTTCTCACTTTATTTTCATATTTTTCAGTTCAAGTTTCTAATGGTGCGAAGATCTCACAACAATAATAAGTGATTTAAGTTGACATGAAAAAAAAACGTACAAAATGTTATGTATCAGTGTTAAAACATGGGTTTAAACAATCTGACTAAAATTTAGATCAATCACGACTCGCCTGCTCATATATCGTCTGATAAAAACAAAATCATAGAACTAAATTTTAATAAGATTAGGGTTAACTTAATGAGATAGCTTGAAAGCAGGTATGTTCTGGTAAATTTAAAGCGATTACTGTTTTTAGCGCTATTTGAATATGTCTATTATGAAACAAATCCCTTCACGTATAACCTCCATATGTGCACTTTGAACTTCCATAATTCTGCCAAGCAATGTCGAAGGAATATTGCTCATTACAATTTTGAGAATAACATATGGATATGTGAATGGAAAGAACAAAAGAAAAAAGGGACATAAGGACAAGATGATTCCTACATTTCCGCTATATCATATAAAGATAGATAGAGATGGAGAGAGAACTACGAGGTCTATCACAACTGTTTTCCAATCGTTTGATGTGTTTCAGCTTTTGGTTTTGATATGTGATAAGAGACTTTCTGTTTTGAAATTTCACTTGGAGCTCGGTAATTCATGTTGTTTTACTAACTTATTTTTTGCATCAATATCTGAGTTTTAAGTTCTGTTGTCTTTTTTCGCTCAGCTTTGATTTATGGTTTTCTTTTCTTTGATTGAAAGAAGGGATAAAATAATATGAAGGCAGTCTCAAACCATGGTCGAAGAAAAACAGACGTCAACATGACCATGGCGAAAAAGTAAGACAGACAAGCAAATCTTTTCAAAACACTATACCGAATTGTGTGAACAATACATAAACCAGTACGGTGATTACAGTTGTTCATGAAGGTTATTTAATCTTAATCAATCTGAATTATTAATTTTCAGTCATATTTAATAAAACAACTAACAAAGTATATCATAACGGGTTAACATTAAAAAGAATTCGCCGAATTTGACATTGAAAATCGCATGGTACAGACAGTTTTCTTTCGAACATTGAACGAGCATAATCTTCGTAACATGTCTTTTCACATCGGGAAACTAATTTTTACCAAATATACTTCTTTTATTCTTTAAAGTTCTTCCATAACCTTTTTTTAAATATGGTTGATCATCACCTGCCGATATTAGCAATATTATCTAGCAAACAAAAGCTAGATGATCCCCATTTGCAGATGGTGTTTTTGGGGCAACTACCAAAGCTTCATTAGAAGGCTGCATCTGGACCTACATCATATTAATTGCAGTTTAAAATGACGAAAAAATTCCTTCGGTCCATAAACAATAAATCTATTCTATTTTTGACATACAAATATTTAAATTTCAGAAAACATTTAGATTTTATTGCAATTTTATCATTTTTGGAAGTTTTTTCAAGAAATGCCATTTTTTGTTAATATAGCGCAATCAACATTTAAGTTTGCACTTGATTTGAAATCATGGTAATTTGTTTTATAAGGTTTAGATCAATTTCAGGGAATAAAATGCCATACAAGTACCTGAAAAAGGCATTTTGTGTAATTATAGCAAACATTTGGAATGCTCAGTTTAGACCTTTGACCTTGGTTTAACGAAAATTGCACCGTACGAATTATTGACGACCGGGCAAAAATGAAAGTACAGATAATAAGCTTTCGAATGATGTGTAATATAGCCGTATGTTAGGTGGGTGCATTAAAGTCGTTAACTAAGCGTCTTTTTGAAAATTGTCACTCGCCTATACATAGTGTCAAAGTTAAAAACAGATCACGTGATTGTAGTTTTTTTTCTTTATCGGTTACTAATTTTATTTAGCAAGCTCTGTCAATATCAACGTTTAATTTCAGAAATATACGGTTTTTAGATTTGGGAATATATTCTATTACACTGAATTAGCATGAAATATAGATCTTATATTGTTTAAAAGCAATTCCAAGGACAGCATTGTCAATACGAATATGAGATTGCCTCAAGATCTTGAATTTAAAACGTAATGGTACCAAAGTAGTCCAATTTTAGATGTTGAATATGAGATGAACAGGGAAAATATTATCTTACGAAATTCAGAGACAAAGATATGCATTCAGTGGTCAGTTGATCAAATACATCCACGCCATTTTGACTCTGGTTGATAGCTGCCCTGATGGAAAGCATACCACACCTTCTCATTTCTATAGTGTGGTGGTTTTCGGACAAGAAAACATTAGGCAGTTCTGACAGTTTCCTTAGGAAAAAAATGTCAGAGTGGTACAAGGAATTTAATACAAATTTAATGTTGGAGTATTTAAACGAAAAAAAAAAAAAAAATAGTAAACATCTTCATTAAAGGGCATTAACTCTAATAAGGGGCCATCAGACGATCTTAACCATGCTGATTCATTTGTAGAACTAATCTTGCTGATCATTTTTGCTATATAAAGTTTCTCTCTATCTATTATAATTTTAAGATAATGGGCAAAAATTTAAAAAGATATCGACATTTTGGAAGTAAATGTACAATAAGTAAATTTCACAATTCAAAATGTTTCTGCCCTTGTCAAATTTTCTCTTTTTATAGTGGTTTTCAAGATAATAAACAAAACTTGCATTTTACACCTATGTTTTTTTTAGACATGTCGGCCATCTTGGTTGACAGGCAGCGTCATTGGCAACATTTTCTAAACTAGATACCCTTTAAAATGAATTTGGCCAAGTGTGATTAAGTTTGGATCAGTAGTTTCAGAGAAGAAGTATTTTGTAAAAGCTAACGACGACGGAGGACGGACGAAAATGTTGAGAAAAATAGGCAAAAATAGAAAAAAAAAATACGTCCATTTTTCAGATTAATACGGAAAAGAAGAAATAAATATTTTCAACATTTTGCTTTGAATACTGTATTTTGGTCATAACAAAGCTTCTGTCCAAATTTCCCACAAATCCATGAAGCTTTCACAAAGTCATTGATGACTGACGGTAATTACTTGTTAACTGTAAAACTAGAGGCTCGTCTGCATCTTCAGTAATAGCCACTTTTTAGTAATAAACATCATTAAAGGGGAATAACTCTATTCAGAGATAACTAAAAATTTTCAGTCATGTTGACGTATTTGTAGATCTTATCCTACTGGTAATTTTCCTTTATAAAGTTTCTATTTATCTATTATAGTTTTCAAGATAATAGGCAAAAAATACTAAAACATGTTAAACATTATCATCAAAGGGCAATAAGTCCAATAACGAGTCGACTGCAGATTTCTGCCATGTTTTGGCTTATTTGTGGATCTTGTCTATCTGATCATTTTGTGTTATTTGAAGTTTCTGTCTATATAACTATTATAAATCGAGATATTAGGTAAAACAATTCTAAAATGGTAAATTCATCCTTTAAGGGCAATAACTCCTATAAGAAATCGTTTGACAGTTTTGACGTGAATGACCAATAGTTAGAGCTCAACATTCTAAACATTTTTGCTCATGTCAGATTTTCTCTATTTATAGCGGTTTTCCTTATAATAGGCAAAACTTGCATTTGACCCCTATGTTCTTTTTTTAGCCATGTCAGACATCTTGGTCGGCTGGTAGGGTCATCGGACGAAGTTTTAAACTACATACCCTAATAATGATTGTGGCTAATTTTGGTTAAATTTGGCCAAGTAGTTTCAGAGGACAAGATTTTTGTAAAAGTTAACGAAGATGGACGACGACGATGACAGACGAAAATGACGAAGACGGACATCAAACCCCAAGTGATGAGACAAGCTCACTTGGCCCTTCGACCAGGTGAGCTAAAAAATAAGTTGATTTTATCCGTAAAATACGGAAAAATGAAAATAAACATATTCAAAATTTTGCCCTGGATACTGTCCTTTGGTCATAAACAAGCTTCTGTCCACATTTCTTAAAATTCAATAAGGTTTGAAAAACTTATTGATGACTGAAAAACTTTCACTTCAGACTAAATTTGAAAGTAAACTGTAAAAAAATACTTCTATTTATCAGTAAAATACGAAAATATTTTAAAAATTTTGCTCTGGATACTTTATTTTGGTCATAAAGAAGCTTCTTTTCAATTCCTAAAATTCCATTAAGGTTTGACAAAGTTATTCATGTTATTGATGTCCAAAAAACATTAACCACAGACTAAACCTAAATGCTGACGCCGACGCCAATGACGGAATCGAGGATCGCTATGTTTCAGTTTCGCACAAAATGTCGCAGGCTCGACAACAAGGGCAAGTTTATGCAACATGACATGTTCAAGCGATCTGACTACTATATCAACTAACGGAACGTCAGGAAAATAATCTCACCTGACATACACAATGCAAGTAAAATCTCATCTCATTTCCGATTATTGGATTGTCCTAATATAGCAATATTCATTCAAAAATTCATATGACATAATGATCCTTATTTATTGCAGTTTGAATATTGTTAAACAGAATAATAAGTATTTAATTGTTCATCTTGTCTCTACTAGAAATATTCCGACAAAAATAACAAGAAAATTAATCAAGACGTAAATTGAAGATAAACAGGAAACACCATGGCAAAAAGAAAACACGAGAAAAACACAAATGATCACAGATATCTAAGAGTATAATAAAATAAATCCCAAAACAGGGGGGATGATTTTTGACGACCTGAAATGTAAAGTAAGTTTCCCATTTATAACACGGTAAATTTAAAAAGGGGAAAATTAATTAAACCTGACAAAAATCCAACGCTCAACACTATCAACCGACGAAATGAATTATAAACAACTGTCTTATATTCTTGCAATGATTAGGCATTTAAATAGGCAAAAGCGAATTCCTCGATGAAAGAGAGCTCATAAGTCACGAACAACAAACTGGAGACCACGGACATTGTAAATATGATAACTACTTACATGAATGTGTAGTTATTTAAAATCTGTCTATTATCACTTTTTAAAGTAATTTCTTTCTGCATTATCATTACGGTAAAAACCTACTTCATTGCCCGTGTATCAATACTTACAAGATTATAAGGGATGTTAAACCAGAAAGCGCATTTGTTCTTACTGTTGTTAAGTTATTTCTACGAAGACTTCTGAAAGAATGAAAAATAAATGATCATAGGACTTCGTTCAATATACATGATATAAGAACGATATTCCATATTCTGATATATATAACCTACATCTCTTTAACATTCCGCAGGTCAAAACATTCTAAAGCATCTACACAATAAATTTGGTAAATCTTAAAAAAAAAGTTGTGAATAAGGAATGAAGCTTTAGTGAAATTTAATCATAATTTAATGAATCATTTGGTGTGGACCAGTAAAAGGATAGACCAACGATTGCATGAACTACATTTGAATGTATGAAATGAAAATACGAAGTCTATAGAGTAGACAATATTATGATAGACTATCATTTAATTGTTAAGTCAAGACAGTTTGCTGATATTTTACACAATTAGAACCATTTTGAAAAAGTGAAAGAAAACGCCTGACAGTTAACAACAATTAGTATTTAGATGCAAAGTATTGGTAGTTCGTTAAATTTTGGGATATATTTTTAGTCGTGAATGAGGTACATAAAAAGCTTATAGGTATAGATAAAAATCATCATCATTGATGAAGATCATGTATACAATAATGGCATGATAATAGTAATAAGTGCCCGTGGAATATTGGCAGGTCGATAACTTAACGCGTTTGATATATCATAGATAATATCCTTTACCACGTCCATTTCTTAAAATTTTCCTGCGATATACACAAAACTGTTCCCAAACGAAAACCTGATTGTCTAATTAAAGCAGGAAAATTAAATCGAGAATTTCCGAAAACCAGCAAGTTCATTTAAAATCCAAACCTGGTCGGACAACTATATTTTCCATGCAAAGTCACGATTTGATTAAAACATATGTAATGAATAGTACTTACAAAATTGTTGTAGTTGAAGAAATATCTGTATGCGGTATTTCATCAAAACTCCTTCCGGAACAATCAATTAGTGTACCATTACATGAACAAGATGAAGGACATCCATTAACTAAATCCCCTTTCAACAGTCTTATAAACAACATAACTGCAACTGACATCAACATTTTATTAGATGTGTTCGTTTTGCTCGTTTACCTTGATATATCTGTAATATACAAAAAAAAATAATGTCAAATAATATAGCCTATTGCCAGAGAGTCATTTATTTTTTTAATAAACAATCATGAATTTTCAAGATAAGACAAAATGTAAGAAATAGAGAGAAATTACCATTTCAAAAATTTTCCTTTCCTTAATTACACTCTATCAGATATGTGTCTCTTTCTTTTTTGATATCAAAAGAGATGAGAAGGATACCAAAGGGACATTCAAACTCATAAGTAAAAAATTAACTGGCAACGCCATGGTTAAAAAAGAAAAATAGATAAACAGACAAACAACAGTACACAAAAAAAAGAAAACCAAAGAATGAGCAACACAAACCCCACCAAAAACTGTGGGTGATCTCAGATACTCTAAAAGGATAAGCAGATCCTGCTCCACATATGGCACCCGTCGTTTTGCTTATGTTAATACAAACCTGGTGATAAGTTTAGTTCGGTGTGTCATATCTGGAGAAAAGGTGACAGGATTGTAGTTACAACAATAGGAACATATCCGTTGTCATTTGTGAAATGGATATTCCATATAACGGTCAAACAACTCGTGATACCGTCTGTAAAGTTTAGGAAGGGACTATATCAACTAATAGGTTTCTTGTGAGCAGCAATCATTGATCAAGGAAAGTATGATAGGAAATACAAGCCATGAAAATTGTATCAACTTGGAGATATATACATGTACTCCTACAAGAAATGATTGTAAGAGGATGCTGTTAAGAAGTCTCTCGAACAAATCATAATAAGAATAAACCCTTAAGGACTCTCCCTATTAAAAAAAAATATGAAAAAAAGTTCAAGGTCAAATTATGACCTTGCCCATTTAACCTTTCAAGAGCCATATGTTCCCATGGTCATTACTGAAGACCCTATGTGTCTATCACTAACTGTTCTCAAGATATAATCATTTGAAAATAACAAAAATTAAAATATTATAGGATTCTATAGTAAACCCCTCCTTTCTTTTGGCCCCTCAAAGTACCCCTTTATAAACGCTATTGCACAAATAAAACCCTGATTGTTCCACTAGACATGTTAGTCTTACATATTGTGGAACCCTAAATTAATCTGACAAGCGGTTTTGGGGAACGGGTGCAGACAAGTTCAAATTCAAAAGTAGTGGAAGAAGAAGAAGAAGTTCTAAGATGAAGAGGAAGAAGAAGGAGAAGAAGATTTGCAATTTTGAGAAATAGCAGATGACACCCTCGTCTCCCCATTATCAGAGTAACGTTAGCCATAGTTGCTGTAGTTTCAATGGTAACATAGTGGTTCAAATTTATTGTCAAAATTATCCAAAACCTGTATAAAGGCGACTTTTTTTTGTATAAAATCAGTTGTATTGGGTTTGATGTAATATTCGTTAAGACAATGTTGCTTTAAAGTATTTTTTGCCAATTGGTCAAGGTATAACTTTCTATCTGTTTCCATGACAATGGCGGCTTTTTGGAATATCTGAATATTGTCGGTACCTCAACATACCACAGGCAACATTTGCTACACCTCTTTCTGCAAATTTTCAAAACAGTTGGAGCATTTTAATATTTAACACATTTTTGCTGTTTCCATCGGGTGACATAATAATGATAAAAAAAACCAAAAAAACAAACGGAGGAACAGCAATATGTCACCCGACATTGTCGATCGGATGACATAATAAGAAAATAGAAACGTAAAATAGCAATATGTCACTCCGTTGAGGGTGCCATTAAAAAGAAACGTAGAATAACAATATGACACCCCAACTCTGTTGAGGGTGCAATAACTATAATTTCTATTGTAAGCAATAGCAGACTCACCCCTGCCAGATGAAATTCATGAATATATGAACCATCATGAATGTTCATAAAAGTGCATTAAGTTATTTCATGAATTAAGCTCATGAGCAGTTCATAAAATGCAGTTTATGAATATTTTCAGAACCTTCATGAACTGATAGTCAGTTCATAACGTTCATAAATTGTTCATAACACATGTTCATGAACATCTTATCAACTTTAATTAATCAATCAATACAGAAAGTTCATAAAATAATTAAAAACAGATGTTCATGAACATTTTTCAAACTTTTATGAAACACTTAAACTTTCAACTTCAACTTACACAATTTAATTCAGATGTTTTATTTGTTATAGGAGCATGTCTTATTCTTCTCCCAACGATGAGTCCATGAGTCCTAGACTCATGAAAATTTGTCTGGACTCATCATAACAGGCGAGTCCAAAGATGTATCGAGATTGTAAAACTTTTTTTTCATTTTATTTCTAAAATTTTAGAAATAATTAAATTTGATGTCAATTCCTTGCTTTTTTTTGTCAGTGAGACTGGAATAAAAAATATTTAGCAAAACAATTTCAAATTCTAGCTGTTTAACTTGCCTTGGCCAAAAATGATGAATTCCTCACAGAACCCACATTCCAAAATCTATAGTGAGAACCATGATGTCACTATAGCATGTATAGTGTCTTAATGTAGTTTTATAAGTATATATATATATATATTTTTGAATTTAATTTTTAGTTTATTTGATTTGGTGTGGAGATTTATAAAACAAATAGCGGCAATAACTATTATTCAAACGTTTATACCTGTCATTTATCTTTTATCTTTCCCTTTCATCACAATCATGCAACTGATTTCCTAGGGATTCAGAACTAATTTGGCTGATTCATTACATTTCTAAATGTTTCGTTTAAAAGGCATTACCGGTACAGAAATAAAGCATCAAATATATATTTACAATCATCCTGGACTTTATGGCCCAGGACTGACACGTTATGGATCCGGGTTTTAATTGATTAATTTTTTAGTCAATCTTCTTATTATTATCCAGATCTTCAGAAGGACAAAACAGCCACATATTTACAGTTTTATTCATGAAGAAAGAAAAATAAAACACGAAAAACAGAACTTAAGAAGAATTTCAAGGTATAAACTTATTTTCAACATTACAAGAAATCATAATGTTTCCTGTGGGGCTTAACGCTACATCAACCCCACCCCCTCCTTCCTCTCGGAAACAAAAACAACAAACCCAAAACAAACAAAACAAAGACAAATACAAAATCAAGACAATTCTTACATATAGCAAACAAAACAAGGCAAAAAAGAAAAGATTGTGAAATACTCGTACTGCAATAGCTTCTGTTGAATGTGAATGCATGTATGTAGGCTTAAAGAATGTAAAATACTCCTACTCCTATAGTTAATGTTAAATGTTTATATGTAACTGCACGTATGTGGGCTCATTTTGTCACACTGGAATGTACAGACTACAAAAAAGCAAGAACTTAAACATAATATTTATGTTCTTGTCGTGCTCATCAAGTCCATATCTATTTTTATACTGCTTATATAATTATCGTGTATATATCTTGTCTATTTCTTTTATTTAACTGTACTCCATTCGATCTTTTAATAGATTGAATGATTGTTAACTTTTAATGCCACTTTCAGTACACTTGGCTATATCATGCCCGCCAGTTTTTGTTGGTGGAGGGAACCGGATTGCCCGGAGAGAACCACAGGCCTTTTGCCAGTAAACTGACAATATTTGCCAAACTTAAGACGGAAGACGAACCCAGATGCTTCGTGGCAGGTTCGCAACCTCACAACCTCAGTGATACAGTATAGGAACTACTTAGACTAATTGGCCATCAAGATCCCTAGATGTGTGAGAACTTCGGAATTTATAGCACGGACAATATCAACAACAGATTGAAATTTTGACCAATTAAATTTTCAGATCTTTTTTAGAAGAAAAAAAAAAATAATAACGGTACAATCTTACATTCATTTTATTATCAGTATAAATGCAATATGGTTGAAGTTATATGAAATGAAAATAATTGAACAATAGAAACATTATGAAAATTTTATACAATTGTTTATACTAATAATTTTTCATCACAAATTAAAAAGAATAAAGAAGTTATAGATAAATTCACGTAATATAAAAAACAGTCTCATCTTATTAGTAGATAACACAATAGCAAGAAATGAAGGCCTTAAATGTAGACCCAAGTGAAATATACATTGCTAAAAACTCAGACAAACTTGCTATTTGCTGATAGGATACTAGTTGTTATATAGTGAACATAAGGTAATATATAGAAGTAATATGTAAACTAAATCGAATTGATTAATAATCAAAAATGTAAAGTAAAGAAATGCTGAAGCTGTATTAAAGATATACAGAAAAGAAAATACGGTGAGAAAAGAAGTCTACACTATCAATAATAAAAATGATAGTATTGAAACGGTTATTATCTTTTATTAATTTTCTTATAGGGAGAATACTAAAGTAATCATTGAAATATCATGCCAAAAAAGACTATAAAAGTGATGAAAACAGACATAAGTGGGGAATGGCACTTGATTCATTCTTGGACAAATAAAAGATATGATATTTTCAAACCAACAACATTTTAGGAAAAGTCAAAATTAAAAGTACAATCTATAAACAAAGACTTAGATGATAAATGGTTAGTACGATGCAAGTAGCACTACGTAGATCTTATGTTATGTTTAATTATTCAATATGCAAATATGATTTGAGGACGGGAAAAAAGGCCAGAATGCCTTAAGATAGCACAACAGTTCAAACGCATCGTCGTCTGTACATGTTAGAAGGGAATGATGATAGATTCTATAAAAGTTAGTTACTATAAGAACAATATAACATGTAAATGAATAACTGTACTTACATTATAATAACGACCACAACTGGAGAAACCTGATAACACAATCGTACACTTGAAGGAAGATTTCGTAAATAACACGTTGGTAAAGATGGAATGTTCAATATAAACGCATGAATGGTGCAAGTATGTAACACATGTTAACTGATGATTCAGTGGTTTA